CCTTGTGGAAGCCACTTTGGTAATACAGATGAGTTATGGTTGCATGTGCTTGCAGTTCATCCTGATAATTTCAGGCTCTCAAAAACTCCTCGGCCTGTCCAGTCTATTGGTGACGATTCTCCAAGGAAGTTTGAGTTATACAATTCAGCTTCTGTGGAGAATAACACTGAGAATGTAAGTGGTCAACGAAAGTTTGTTTGCAGGTTTTGTGGGTTGAAGTTTGATTTGCTTCCCGATCTTGGTCGTCACCATCAAGCTGCTCACATGGGGCCAAGTTTAGCCAGTTCTCGGCCTTCAAAGAAGGGGATACGTTATTATGCTTATAAATTAAAATCTGGGAGACTTAGTCGTCCTAGATTGAGAAAAAGTTTGGCGGCAGCATCATATAGGATCAGGAATAGGGCAAATGTTACAATGAAGAAACGTATTCAATCATCGAAGTCACTTGGCACTGGAGGAATAAATGTACAGCGTCTTGCAACTGAGGCAGCAAGTCTTTCTAGATTAGGGGACTCACATTGTTCAGCAGTAGCAAGGATTCTTTTTTCTGAGATGCAGAAAACAAAATGTAGGCCAAGTAACCTAGATATTTTATCTGTTGCTCGCTCTGCTTGCTGCAGGGTCAGTCTCAAAGCCATGCTGGAGGGACAATATGGGGTCTTGCCAGAAAGTTTGTATCTTAGGGCAGCCAAGCTCTGCAGCGAGCATAATATTCAGATAGATTGGCATCAAGATGGATTTATTTGCCCTAAAGGATGCAAGGAATTCAGGGAATGCTTTGTGTCTCCGGTGATGCCTCTTCCAATTGGTGCTATGGAGCATAAATCTCCACCTTCATCAGATCCTTGTGATGATAAATGGAATGTGGATGAGAGCCACTATCTTATTGATGCACATCACTTGAGCCAAAGATCCTTCCAGAAGGCTCTTGTCTTGTGTGATGATATAAGTTTTGGACAGGAATTGGTTCCAGTGGTTTGTGTTGCAGATGAAGGCCAATTGGATTCTTATCCTGCCCTTGCAGGTGGTTCTAATGCTGGTATTTCCTTGCCATGGGAGAGCTTTACCTATATTATGAAGCCCTTGCTTCATCAATCCCCTGGACTCGATATAGAGGTATATATACTATGTGTGTATGTATGTATATATATATATATATAATAATAATATAATTAATATATATATATATAGATTACTTTTCAATCTTTGTTCTTAATTTCTTTCAGTTACTGATTTTATATCAGTAATGCATGTATGCCACATGTTTAATATGAATCACTCTCAACTGGACCACCATAAATTGTAGTAAATGTGCAAGTACATTTTGAAGATTTTTGACCAAAACTTTGGATACAACGAGCAGGTAAAACGAAAAGAAAAAAAAGAAAAAAAAAAACGTTTGGCGAACAATATGACAACATTTTCTTTGAAGCTATCTGACAGAGAACGATTTTCTTTAAGAAGACTAGATCTTGCATTGTTACCATGTCAAGAAAATAGGGAGAATGAGATAAAAAAATCATTACCCTCATTACAGAAATCTAAAAGATAACCAAATAACTTAATTTAGAATACTAGATTACATCCCTAAACAAACCTGGGGCCAAATGTTCGAGCCCACTTGGATCCTAATCACAATAAACTTTTGTTCTCTAATAGTATGCATTTACTATGACTTCAAGATGAAAAGATAGATTCAACACGTTAATGTTTTTGTAATTTTGTTTACCAATTTTTGTCGAGATTTCACATGTTTTTTTCATCATTTTCATTGCAGAGTTTGCAATTGGGGTGTTCATGCACGCATTCTACATGCCGTCCTGAAACATGTGATCATGTTTACCTTTTTGATAATGACTATGATGATGCAAAAGACATCTACGGGAAATCCATGCGTTGCAGATTCCCATATGATGAGAGAGGTCGAATTATATTGGAGGTATGCCAATCAAAATCTACCACCAACCACCAGTCTCATCTCTCTAATTGCAGTACATGTTTTTTAAGTGTTGCCCTTGATCATATATTATGGTGGTATGTTCTCCATTGTTGGAAGTCTTTAACTTCTTTTGCGTTTTGTTTGATAACCATTTATACCCTGGAAAGCAGTAAATTTGCTGTGTTGTTGGTCGTGTTGCAGACAAGCACATAAAAAACAGGGTTTTTCTATATCGAAGATTTTTTTCTCTCTTAACCATTTGCTAGAGAGAAAAATTGCCTGAGATAGTTCCCACTTAGATCATTGTATTCTCTCTCAATCTATATACATGTATACGTTAGATATATTCTGGATTTGAAAGTGGCACAGGTTCTGGGGAGGGTAGTGCCATTGACCTGTCCCCACAGAATCTTTATTTACAAAAGCACGAAGAGATTCATACCATGCTTGATTTTCACATAATTTTCGTTCTCCAGTTTTTTATTGGAGGGAACATGGGGTTGATTTATTGCTCTTTTGAAATTGTGCAGGAAGGGTACCTCGTTTACGAATGCAATCAGATGTGCAGCTGCACTAGATCTTGTCCTAATAGGGTTTTGCAGAATGGAGTAAGAGTGAAATTGGAAGTCTTCAAAACAGAGAAAAAGGTAGCCTTTCTTTCCTTCTTTTTTTGTCCCTCTAGAGTTATAAAGAAGAGTTGAAGGGTTAAATTTCAGTTTTTGGTATTTTTCAAGAGTTGGATTGACTTCGGTACCCAATTGCAGGGATGGGGAGTCAGGGCAGGTGAAGTGATCCTCCGCGGCACATTTGTTTGTGAGTACATAGGCGAGGTTTTAGATGAGCATGAAGCAAATGAGAGGCGCAACAGGTTTCAGTTTTGTTCTGATAGATACAGCTATTGTTTTTACTCTACTCTAGTTTTTGTGCCATATTTGAATGGTACCTTATGAATGATCAGGTATGGAAAAGACAGTTACTTATATGAAATTGATGCTCATGTTAACGATATGAGTAGATTGGTCGAAGGACAGGCCCATCATGTAATTGACTCAACTAACTATGGAAATGTTTCAAGATTCATCAATCATAGGTAATGAAAGACGTTGCTGAATTATATTATATATATATATGTATATATATAATTTTTTTGTTTTTCTTTTAATTTCTTAGGCAATTCAAGTGCCTTGTGATATACTTGACGTATGCTATTCTTTTGTAGCTGCTTGCCTAACCTTGTGAATCACCAAGTTCTTGTGGAAAGCATGGATAGTCTGTGTGCACATGTTGGTCTCTATGCAAATCGCGATGTAAGCAGTCTCATTTCTTCTCATAGAATGATTTTATTTGTGCATGATGCATTAGTAATTATTATCTTGGAAAATTAAGATTCCCAACTTACCCTGTTGTGATGTACAATTGATGACGGCTCGTTACAACTGATATGCATTACAATGCTTAAAGTGACTAACGTTATTCTTGATAATTCTACTGTATGTGAGCAGATAGCTTTGGGGGAAGAAATAACGTATGACTATCGGTATAAACGTCTTCCTGGAGAAGGACATCCATGCCATTGTGGAGCTTCCGCGTGCCGGGGGCGACTCTATTAAACCTTGAATGAACACTGTGCTCCTGCAATCTCAGCATACACTTGCCCGCGCTTCAATAATGAAAAGGCAGATTGTGAAGAGCAAATTATCTCCGCATCACCCAGTGGTGAGTTCTCAAGTCATTGCCATTTATGATCCATCCGTTGATAATAAAACGGATCTCAGATCCAGCTGAAAATAAAATTGACGGAGTCGTAGCAGTGACACAAGGGTTTATTCAGCTTTCAATCTGCTCCATAACCGTGTATGATCTTGTCCGCAGGTAGATTGTACCAATGTTTTTTCTTTAGGAGTAAGTTAAAGAAATGAGGATGACAAACTTCACCGTTTTCCTTTGTTTCAGTTTTTTTTGTTACTTTCGTTGATCCCGTAGCCGCTTTGGATTAGCCAACTGTAGATGGTTTTTTTTTCTGGTAGAAGTTCTTAGGTTTTTGTAGTGATGGAATGCTTAAATGGCCAATTCATATATATATATTTCCTATTTGTTGAAATTATGGTTTTTCTACTTTTGCTCAACGATCCCAGCTTCTTCGATTATGCTCTCTCTCAGTGTTATTAGTTCCTTTACTGCAGTTGCATAATCTATTGTCCTCATGCGACAATATATAAGAATATGATTTGGAAATTTCCTTCTCACTTTTGTTAGCTATAGCTGCAGTTCTGATTGAAAGTTTTTGGCTTGTTTGGGACTGCTTTTCAAAGAAGCATCTTTTTTCTTCAGCGCTTTTACTGAAAGTGCTAGTCTACACTTGAAATTTTTGTTAAATATTCAAGTGCATTTTGAAAAAGCATCTGAGCATGTGCTTACAAGGCCGCTTATATGTCATAAGGTCATCTCCAACCAAAGCAGGGCCAGATGGCTCGTTTTAGCACTCGAACTTTCTAAGAAATTAATATTTTAATGAACAATACATGATCATATTTTTTACCATCTCCAACCGAGGGCCAAAGGGCCATAAGGCCAAACATAGCCCTGTGACAAAAAACCATCTTCAACCGAGGGTCAAAGGGCCAAACATAATTTATTATTTAAATTTAAAAACTACAACTTAAATTAAAAAACTACAACTTAAATTAAAAAACTACAAATTAAATTTAAAAACTACAACTTAAATTTATAGGAAAAAATGAGAATGTTGTTAAATGTTTTTAAAAATGTTGTTTAAGTTTCATGTTGTTTAAGTTTCATGTTGTTAAATGTTATTTTTTTATGTTGTTTAATGTTATTTAATGTTGTTTAACATTGTTTAATGTTACTTAATGTTGTTTAATGACTTAGGCAGTTATAGAAAAAAATAGAATTTTTAAATTTAAAAAAAAAATCAAATATAACGGCTAGCTGATGTCACGCTGACATCAGCTAACCGTTATATTTGAATTTGTGGCCCGGCCCGGGGCTGGTTGGTTGGGTTGGGCCAGCCAGTTGGCCCTTTGACCCTTTTTTGTCCCGTGGGGTCCACGAGCCCTTTGGCCTAGCCCTCCGTTGGAAATGGTTTTCGGGTTATTTTCAGCCCTCTGGCCCTCTAGACCATTTGGTTGGAGATGGCCTAAGCGCTTAATATTTTGCCAAATGTTGTCAAATATGATTTGACGTTAGAAAGCCTTTAAGAAGCAATCTCAAACAAATCCTTAAAACATTAATGCCAACGATGTAAAAAATTATTTGAACTATATCTTATACATTCGGTTACATGTTAGACTTCGCCACGGTTATGGCTTCTGCTACGAAAAACAGGCAAAAATATGGCATTAACTACTTTCTTGAACAAACAAAAACCAGACAAAATCATCAGCAGAGATTCCATGTAGTTTCACGCTTTGATGCATTGTTTCTGTCTGTTTTATCACAACTTCATTTCACCTTTTTGGACCACAAAGAAGACAAAAGGAAGTCCAAAACTGAATCCCACCAAAACTGCCATTCCTGTTTAAATTACAAATTGATAAACCAAATCATTTCATTAATATGCATTTAAAAAATCATTTCATTATTATTAACCTGAGTAATACAATAACATAAATTCGTTAATTGACGTGACATTTACACATTATTTATCATATACAGATAGTGTACTACGGAACAACAGTGTGGTCTCTCTAGCATTTTACTATTAAGTGTCCAAATAAAAAAAAGACGGAAAATATGATGGAAATTCCTAATAATAAATACGATAAATGAGGCAGATAAATGGGTTTTACCATATTTAACATATGTTGGATAATAACTTTGTTGTAGGAGAGCTTTTGCTAATGAAGATTTTGATGCTGCCAATTGCAAAAGCATGGAGATTATTACCAACCCACTTCCTACTTTTTCCCTAATAACTCTCTCACTTAAATCCAGTGACAAGAACCCAGAAGCACCTTTCAGAGAAGCACTTTCAGCTGTGACTTTGATGAACAAAAATATTCCAAGCCATAGTGCAGCCTCAGCAACTTGTTTGATTGCTTTGGATGAGACAGCCCAAATCACCAGATTAACAAAACAAGCACCAAAGTAGAGGGGAAACCAAAAGTACCAATCTAAAGAAGTAAAAATTGAGAAAAATTAGGTTGGATTTTTTACGAAAATTTCCATAAGAATGGAGAGAAAAGATTAGAGCGTTACCAGGGTCATTTAGCTGCACAGATGCAGAATAAGCAAATAGTGATGCCATTAGAAGAGAGCACAAGGTGTATAACTTGGTGATTGCAGCCATTTACTTTTGCTTTGTTTCAGATCTTCCAAGGAGGATAAGATGCAACTAGAATTGTATTTAACTATATTAGTCAACGCCTTCGAGGAATTCATATTTCCATATTTTATTATTTATAATAATTAAGTTCATACTCCTTCATTTGAATGTGTTACCAGTGATCAAAGCAAGAAAAAAAAAAAAAAACTATTCACTATGCGGTTTTAACTTTGATGATACCAATTAAGGTTTCTTTATAACACTCTTATTTTAGCCTATTGCTTCGTAGTGCACATGAAGAAAATAAGAGTTCTTAAATGGTTAGCTATTTCTTAAAGAAAAAAAATCACGTAGTTACGATTCATCCATGTGATCTTGATTATTGGTTGTTAAACTACTTTTGGCAGATATTATTGATGCGTCAAAATAACTATGTTGCACTCCTCAACATTATAATATTGCCAAGATCAAGCAATTCATCTTCTAAACTAGTCATGTTGGAGCCCTATAACTAATAACGATCTACCATACACATGCACCGGTGTATTGTGTACAGTTGAATTAACATATTTAAATTTTGATAACTTCAAATTGTGTCGTTCAAACACCAGTGCTTCCAATTCATAGGCATAAAAAAACCCTATTCCTTGATCACCAACCCAAAAAACTTAAGATAATTTTTGCTTTGTATGTTAACTTATCATCGTCAGCTGCATGCATGCAGCTGGACTTTTTCCCTGAGTAGGTATTAGGTATAAGACTCATCTCACAGAAATATCTTACTTCTTAGCTTGGTGATCAATTTAGTCAATTTACAGCTCGAGAATGATGAAAAACCCACCACCTGATTAGCCATTCCATGGTGGGCCCAATTTACAGCAAGGCCATCTTCCATGGAATTCTTTTTGGTACCCACCATTGGTCATGAAAACGTGCTCACTTTCTTCCATTTTTGCATCATTTGTAAACTCTATTATTGCATGCAGGATATATTATAGGATCAAGGGACAAATACTTTTATAAATATTTTTACATTCTTTTTAAGTTTTTTTATTACATGACATCTAATGATTCTTATTTATTCATTAAATGACATGCATACTTATGTGGATGTTAACTAATATTAAAGATTAAAAAAAACATAAAATCTGAAAAATTAAAACTAAAATTAAAAAAAGGAAGAAACCCTAGTTGTACGTAGTCCTCCGTCTCCCCCTCTCCAGAAATCGCAATTACCCCCACTGCTCAACCTACAAGCAGAGACCCTCGTGCTCCATAGTTATCAAATGTTCCATTCATAATCAAGAACTTGAGAATGTTTTGTAAACAAATATGCAATGATTTAATGATTTGGTGCAAATGAAGAACTAATGGGATTGAAATTTTTCTACAGGCACCAAGAAAAAATTAGTTGTTACAAGTTCGTTCTATATGCATTCACCATGAAAGAATTTTTTTTTTTTTTTTCCTTTTGAAAATTTGAAGTTTAGTGTAGAGGTTCTTAATTGAACGTAAACTATGCAGGTGCAGTCCTTGGTTCATTTTCACTTGTGCTGATACTTGTCAGGCTCCATCGTGTACATGGTTATTGACCAAGATTCTAAAAGACACTAAGCACTAGTCGAACAGTGGGATAGGGCCTAGCGCCTAGGCGGACTAGGTGGATTTAAGTAAATACATTATATTTCGTGTAAATAAGTGTCTGTTTATACTTAATATATATATAATTTCATCATAAACGACAAAATAGAATGACATATGTATTATGAAGTATTGAAACATGATGAAAACATGGGGAACAAACATATAGTGTGTGCTCATTTAAGTATTCAACAAGTCTCTTACAATTTATTGAAAAAAATTAAATGCAAATTGAAAGTCATATATTTTCTGTCTAAGTGAGTTGCAACCTAGGTAGGTGCCTAGGCGGGTTTGGGCTGGTTAGGCGAGTGTCTGGGCTGTTTAGGCGGGTGCCTAGGCGATCTAGGTGGGTGTCTCAGCTGGTTTATGCGCATTTTCTTAATTTTCAAACGCTTAGGCATTAATAGGGGCGGCGGCCAGACGCCTAGCACCTAGGCGACGCTAGGCGAGGATTTTTAGAACAGTGTTATTGATCGAATAGAAAAGGAGCGGTAAACCACGATCGAAGAATTTTTGGAAAACTACAGAGCTATCAAGCCTACGAGGTACTCATATGCTAATATCAAGCGGATTACAAATAAATCTAGAGACAAGTTGGGACAAGGAACATTTGGAACAGTGTTCAAAGGAAAGCTCTCGAGTGAGATGTTTGTTGATGTAAAGATGCTCAACAATTCCAAAGGAAATGGAGAAGAGTTTATCAATGAAGTGTCAACAGTAGGTCGGATCCACCATATTAACGTGGTTCACTTGGTTGGCTGTTGCGCTGATGGATTTAGACGAGCCTTAGTTTATGAATTTGCACCAAATAGTTCATTGCAAAACTCATATCATTAGCAGACAGCAAGAACCATTTTCTTGGTTGGGAGAAACTGCAACATATTACTCTCAGAATAGCCAAAGGAATTGAGTAAGTTCACCACGGATGTGACCAACGAATCCTTCATTTCGATATCAAACCTCACAATGTACTATTAGATGACAACTTCAACCCAAAAATCTCAGATTTCGGTCTTGCCAAGTTGTGCTCCAAGGAACAAAGTGCCGTTTCCATGACAACTACCGTTTCCAAGACATAAGTTGCAAAACCGCATCTGCAAAGGGGGAGATGGAGGACTGCGTACAACTAGGGTTTCTTCCTTTTTTAATTTTAGTTTTAATTTTCCAGATTCTAAGTTTTTTTTTCAGTTTTATTTTATCTTTAATATTAGTTAAAATCCACATAAGTATCCATGTCATTTAATGAATAAATAAGAACCATGGATGTCATGTAATCAAGGGCTTAAAAAAAGTGTAAAAATATTTGTCCCTTGATCCTATCCCTATATATAGGCCCTTTATGCAAAAGGAAAAAAAAAAGGGATTAGGTGTAGGGCTCACTACACATCAAACTTCAACGATCCGAACCGTCTATTTTGTAAGTCTCGATTCATAAATCATTCTTGCAAAAAATCAATTCAATTCGAAACCATGTGCCTATTTAATTATCAAGATAAAATTGCATCGTTTCTTATATAACAAAGTTTTCGTTAATTTATTTGAACCCAATTAGATATCTTAAACATTTCTGATTTGGCTAATATTTTGCAAGGATGATCTATGAGGTGCAACTTGAAAAATAGACAATTCAGATCGTTAAAGTTCGATGTAGTGTGGACCCCACAACTAATCCCAATTTTTATAAAAATAAAATAAAAATCCCTTTCCTTAAAGATTTCCTATATATATATATATATATATATATATATATTATAATATATACATACTCACAGAGCATATATACTACAATGCACAGTTGACACAAACACTTTATAATATTTTCTGTTTTATAATTCAAAGAAACTAAACGAAATAGAGAAATTCTAAAGAGATTCTCTCAAAAGTGAGACTTTTTATGAACTCTTCGTCATCTCATCTTTTTGACACAATTTCTATTATAAAATATTGTGTCAAAAGATAAGACAAAGGATAGTATATAAAAAGTATCCTTAGCATTTCTCAAAGAATATAAAAAGGTCAAAATTAAGTACAAAGATTTTCAATTTTGTTTGGATATTTGGGATGCCTCTTGCCAATTCTTTCTTATGTGAAATTGTGTCACTTGATTGTGATTCTAATGATGATCTATATCCCAGACTTTTTTTTAAAGTAAATACCAACATCATAAAAGCAAAGAAGAAAAGTAATCTAGCTACTTATTTATGGAACATCAGGAAGAAAAGTAAATTCCCATGGGACACATTGGAATTATGGTCCTTCACTTCCATAAATATAACAAAAAATGGGCCACCAGAAGTTTTGGTCGAGAATAAAGTTGGATTTTTTAGTACATCAATGTGTTTACACTAAGAAGATGGGAAGTTTAGCTAAGTCACATAATAGGCAGCCTAGTTTGATATCAAATTCACTATTTATGAGATTCGAATCTAAAACCTCTCACTTCTAAGCGAAGAGGAATAGTACCACACAGTAGTACTGAGAGGCGAGAATAAAGTTGGATTTGATTTTAGAGAGGCAAATCAATCCACTAAAGAGACATTTTAACGAGTTTGTAGCTCAGTTTATTAAGATCATTTATTTCATAAACTAGAGAACAACTTATATCAACAAATTCACTTGATTTATTGTAACGTTTCAGTTTAATAATACAGAGTCATGTGGAGATAAACTTAACATAATATTGTATTAGTTGATCAAGACGCCAAAATAATAGTGATCTTATTCCTAAAAGGTCCTTCATTTATGCATTTGACGCCTCGAGTTAGATTCCCCCCACCATAATATTTGCTTGTAACAAAGAAAAAACCATTAATGAGAGACAAAGATGGTTCTGGAATCTTTATGATGGTTTATGTGTTGGCAACTTGGCATATGGAATTGAAATTTTTTTTTTTTTAACAAACAATATTATTTAGATAAGGAGGTAGAAAAGTAGGCTAAACCTCGTAATAGGCTAGTCATAGTAAAATGATTCAAATTCGCTTTTTACAATAATTGAACGAACTAGACTTGGCTGCTGATTCTTCAACAGCGAAGTTAAATCTGACCTAAGATTTTTCTAAGAAAAAATTTAGCTAACACTATCATGTTTTAGTTTAAGTATCAATGAAAAAAGTCAACCAAAGCAATTCTATGAATATTACTAAGTCAAAATAAAAATAATTACATGATTGTCGCTTAGTCCAACCACGTTTTTCAACCACCCAACCTTTTCCTACAACCAGTTGATCAATTTTTTCGGCGACCGGCCAATCAAAATTTTCATTCTCAATATTACTTTCAAACAATGCCCTTTAGAAAAACATGTTTAGTAATGAATTTTTTTCATAAGTTCTCTAATTTTGTACAATATACATGAAAAAAAAAAGCAATAAACTCACACAAATTATAGTTGAAGATGAAAAGGTTGTCCATATTAATTTTTTTGTCACTGGTGAATAGTGATTTGATTTT